TGGAATATTCCCTCTCCCCTCCTGTAAAGGAGAGGAGCAGGCGGCTGAGAGCTCAGAGGCAGAAGCGAGAATGCCAGACTCACCTGCTCATTGCTCTTTTCAGCTGGACACCACGGCTCTGGGAGAGGAGGCTCCAACCCCTGCGGGCAGCAACCAGCCAGAGGCTCAGGCTGCACATGTGTGGACGCCTCTGGTGGGGCTGTGCTCCACCTCCTGTGGGCGAGGTGAGACCCTGAGGACATTCACCAGACCTCTCTTACTTCTCTTATCTCCCCACCTTCTGCCCAGATCAGTGCTGAAGGAGGGGCTGCCAAGAGAGCCAAACTATGTGAGTACGGCACGCAATAAGTCCTCTACATGTGTTTCATGCCCGACTGAAAGATAAAGATAAATCCTAGAAAGACTGGTGCCCAAGAGTGTGTCCTTTAAGTCCCACAGAGCTGTGTACAAACTGACCACCGAAGCCGAAGAGTCAGTTTAAAGATACATTTAAAAAAAAAAATGTGTCGTTTTTAAACTAAATCTCAATCATACAATTTTAACAATAAAGACTCAAGAGTCGGGTGCTAGGGTGAAAACCTGCTAGCTCAGAGAGGCCAAGGAGCAACCAGCTGACCTTCTACTTAGTCAATGTCCCAAAAAACAGAGCTTCTCTTCCATCGTCCCAAATCAAAAAGGCCACCAAACTCAAAGCCCCTCCCTACTACTTCCTGTGCATTTCTCTATGTTTTCCTGACTCCCTCTTACTCTCTGTGGCTACTTCCTGCCAACTAGTTGCTGGCTCCACCTCTTGACCCAGGGTTGATTTTATTTAATTAATGCAATCTCGGGCTTCATAGTGTGACTAAATATCCTACAACAAAAAAGTGTTCTGTCTTCTCTGTTGTGGAAAACACCCACATACCTTTTAGTCATTTAAAAATATTTATTTGTGTGTGTGTGTGCCTGTATGTATGTCTGTGTGTGCAGCCATGAGGCCAAAAGAAGCATCAGATCGATCCCCTAGAACTGGAGTTACAGATGGCTGTGGCTGCCATGTGGGTTCTGGAACCAAACCCATGTCCGCTGCAAGAGCAATAAATACACTGAACCACTGAACCATCTCACCAGGCCCGACTCTCAAACATTTTAAATGTTTCATCCAGTGGCATTAATCATATCCACCTTGTTGTAAAGCCATTGTCACCATCCATCTCCAGAACATTCCACGCTTCCAAACCAGACCGTCTTCATTAAACACCAACATTCATCACTTACACTTTAGTTTCATTCTCTATGGATTTGACTCTTACCTCATCTATGTGGAATGTGTCACTCTGTGACTGGATGTGTCACCTAGGTTCATACATGTTGTAATGGTGTCAGAATCCCGTCGTGACCCCAAAGAGTGTTCCACTGTCGGTCTGGATCGTGGTATTTCTGTCACCCGTGAGTAGACACACACCAGCGCCCTCTTTCCAGCTTTTGTTAGCAGTACTGCTCTGAACATGTGCCTGTGTCCCCCAGCCTGGCTTTGGGTTCTCCTGGTGTGCACGGGAAGAGGAATTGCAGAGCCATGTGGCCAAGCTATATTTAACTTTTGCAGGCTCCTCTGCACTTTCAGAATGGAATTTTACATCCCTACCGGCAGGGCCCAGGGTTCCAGTTCCTCCACATCCTTATTAATATTTGCTGTTTTCTGAGTTTTCAATAGCCATTCTAAGGGACTGAGAAGGGTGTAAGGAGACTCACAATGTCCTTAAACAGCCCTAACCAGTTGCTTACCCAAACCTACACCTGTTTAGCACTGACCAGAAGAAATTCCTAAGAGATGGAGAAAACCAACCCTAATAAAACCTTTTTGATGGATACAGCAGGATCTCATGTAGTTCAGGCTGGTCTCTAACTATGTAGCCAAAGATGACCTGGAATTCCTAATCTTTCTGCCTCCATCTCTTGAGTGTTGGGATTGTAGACTTATGCCAACATACACAGTACTTATTTTTTTATGAATGTTTAGTTATGTGTGTGTATATGTGTAAGGATTTGTGCACTTGAGTGCAGGTGCAGGAGAGGCCAGAAGAAGACATCAGATTCCCTGGGGCTGGAGTTACAGGCCAGTATGAGCTGCCTGACCTGAGTGTTGAGAACTGAATGTCCTCTGAGAGAGCAGTATGAGCTCTCAACCACAGAACCGTCTTCTCTCCTGCCCATGAACAGCTTTTGTGCTGTGCCAGGGGTTGGATCCAGGCCTTTGTGCATGACAGGCAGGCAAGCACTCTACCACCTGAGCTACACCCCTGCCCTCAAGGGGCATTCTTTAAAAAATTATTTCTTCTTTTTCCTTTTTTTCCCCCCAGATAGGGTTTCCCTGTGTAGCCTTGGCTGTCCTGGAACTAGCTTTGTAGACCAGGCTGGCCAGAGATCTGCCTGCCTCTGCCTCCCAAGTGCTGGGATTAAAGGCATGCGCCACCACCGCCCGGCTTATTTATTCTTTTTATTCTTCCACTTTACACACACACACACACACACACACACACACACACACACACACACACACACACACGCATATATGTTATTTTCTCCACAGCAAGCCCCACTCCTACTTTTATATTTTGTTTGTTTGTTTGTTTTTTGTTTGTGGCTACCACATATAAGCAGGATTGCTCACACGAGCATGGATAGAGGTCAAGAGACACTGTTACAGTAATTTCCACCATGCTTCGCAGAAACAACAGCAGCTTCGGGCAGCAGGCATCTCATACCTTTCATTATTCAGCCTCTATAAATGATTCTGCTAGGTAGATACCATGATATGGAAACCAGGGGATCAGAGAGGTTAATTCAGTTATTCACATGCACACAGCTGGAAAGTTGCAGATGGACCTTGGCTTTGGAGCTGACCAGGGAACAAAGGCTGTGGTCCTTGCTAAGCTGGCCTACTGGGTCAACAGCATCCCTGCTTCTTCCGGACAGGTCTGATGGAGTTGCGTTTTCTGTGCATGGATTCTGTCCTCAAGGTGCCTGTCCAGGAAGAGCTGTGTGACTTGGCCAGCAAGCCCTCGAGCCGGTGGGAGGTCTGCTGGGCTGGCCCATGTCCTGCTCGGTGAGTTGGGGAAGGAGAGTGCAGAGAAAGGAGTCTGACCCCAGGGTCGGTCTCCTATCAAACCTTGGCCTTCTCCTTCAGGTGGGAGACTCAAGTCTTGGCACCATGCCCCGTGTCCTGCGGAGGGGGACGAGTGCCACTAGCTGTTCGTTGCATGCAGCTGGACCATGGCCGACCTGTGTTTCTACCTCACTCCAAGTGCTGGCCAGTGCCTAGGCCATTTCCCTTCAAGGACTGCAACCCTGAGCCCTGTCCTGCTAGGTGAGCACCTTGCCTGGGAGAGAGGCAGCCCTGGGTATGCATTTAGCTCTGCCACCAGATGATGTACATTTGTAGGATCTGGGATGGTGATGACATGGGCACTTTTTTTTAAAAAAATCTATTTAATTTTTATGAAACAGGGTCTCACTATGTGGCCCTGGCTGTCCTAGAATTTGCTATGTAGACTAGGCTGGCCTTGAACTCACAGAGATCTACTTACCTTTGCCTCAAAGGTGTGTGCTACCACTCCTGTCCACTTTTTTTTTTTTTTTAAATACTGGGGCTTTGTACATCTAGACAAGCACTCTACCACTGAGCTATATTCCCGCCCCCTCCCCTTTACCTTTATGTCAAGACAGGGTCTCGTTAAGCTGCTCACTAACTTCATTATGCAGCCCAGGTAGGCCTTTAACTTATGACCCTTCTGCCTCAGCTTCCCAAGGCTTGTCTTACCTGGCGCAGTCAGGCACATAAGTTGATGGAACATTAATTCACTGCTCGTTCTTTACTGAACACCTGCTATGCCCAGGCGCTAGCTGCAGTCAGAGGACACAGTAATGACAAAAAGATGTCCCAGCCCTCCTGGAACTGACATTGGGGGGTGATGGACAGTGAATGAGACAGTGTGATGAGCAGTGTCTGGGGCAGTGGAACCAACCATGGTGGGTAGGGAAGTTGGCAGGGCTGGTGGCAGGTTCCAGGGTGAGGCCAATGCCAGGACTCCCACTACAGACAGACAGATACCTTTGCAGGTTCCTTTTGGTACCCTGACGTTCCCCCTCCAGCCTTTTGGACCCAACCTCTGTTTACCCTCAGCTTCCCCTTCTGTGAAGTGGGCTGGTTTGAATACTCTGTCCGCTGTACTGAGCCTCCCGGTGGGGCAAAAGCTCTCCATGCCCTTTCCAACCTACTTCTTCCCGTTGGAGAAATGAGAGGAAGGTATGTTGCCCTTTGGGTCCCGCTAACTTCAGTTTTTCCCAGGTGGCGTTACAAGCTGGCAGCCTGTAGTGTGAGCTGTGGGGGAGGGCTCGCCCGGAGAATCCTGTACTGTGCCCAGGCTCGTGGTGAGGATGACGACGAAGAGATTCTGCCTGACACTCAGTGCCAGGGATTGCCTCGCCCTGAGTCCCATGAGGCCTGCAGCCCAGAGCCCTGTCCTCCCAGGTAAGGGAGGTGGGTAGTAAGGGGGGGCATGCCTAGTGCACAAACTCCAGGCAGGACCCCTGGAGATCTCAAGGCCAAGCAGGAGCTCAGAGACACTGTAGAGAAACAGGGCTGCTTGGCAGGCCGTGCTGGGTGTGGGAGATGAGGTTCAACTACAATGGCCGGTGGGTTGTCAGTTCTAGGTGCACAGCTGTCGGCCCGCAGGCGCTGTGTATGGGAAGCAGGGATGCCATTGCCCGCAGAAACGGAAGCGCTACCACCACAGACTGTCAGGCTTTTCATCAGGTTGTTTGACTTTTCCTTCTGTATATGTAACGATTTTAAATTTTGTAGCTTAGAATCTACTTGACACCCACAGCACATGTGCCTTGTCCTCTTCATTTTCGCTAAAGTTGCCGGTCTAGGTGTCTGTTTTTTCTGCATGCCATATTTATGAATGACCTAGGGTTTCTTCTCTTCCTCCTCCTCTTCCTCCTCCTCCTCCTCCTCCTTCTTTTATGTAGGCCAGGCTAGCATCAAACTCTCTATGCTGCTGAAGATAGCCTTGAATTCTTGAACCTCAGGCCTTCACCTCCCAAGTGTTGGGATTGTAGGCATGTACCACCACACCCAGCCAAATCAATCTCTCTCTCTCTCTCTCTCTCTCTCTCTCTTTCTCTCTCCTTTATCTTTTAAATGGGGACAGCATGCACACATGAGTTCTGGTTACCACTGGGGTGTTGTGTGGCCACCCTGTAATCAGCATCTATGGTCTCTCTCCTTTCTAGGGCCCTAGTTTCTCAGCCAGGAATGATTCTGTCTCGAAGGCAGCTTCTGTTTAATTGTCACAATTAGGGACATTTGCTATTGGCTCCTAGTGGGCAGAAGCTAGTCATGCCTGTCTGGCAGTGCACAGGATAGGCTCCCCCAGGACAAAGGGTCATGCAGGGTCAGGTGCCAGTGGTGGCAAGGTGCAAACCATACACCCCTCAGGTCCCAGGGTCCCAGAGCAGCACAGGGCCAACCAGTGACATGGGCGTGAGGGGCAACATTGCAGCTGGTGAGGTCAGTGGAAACCCAGGGCCAGGGAGGGATTTCAGTGGCCAGGGAATGTGTGCAGACCATTGTTGAGGGAGCTGAGGGTCCTTCAAGAGTCCCCCACAGTGACCCAGCCTTCACAGAGGCCCAGCTGTCATTGGGATCTTCTGTTACTGCAGATGGAAAATCCTGTCCCTTGGCCCATGCTCAGCCAGCTGTGGCCTTGGCATTGCCACACGAACAGTGGCCTGCATGCAGCTTGACCAAGGCCATGACAGTGAAGTGGATGAAACTTTCTGCAAGGCTCTGGTGCGGCCCCAGGCCAGGGTCCCCTGCCTCATTGCTGACTGTGCCTACCGGTGGCACATCAGCACCTGGACAGAGGTAAGGGTGGTCTGATACTGATGCCGGGACTTCTAGCTGGGGTTAAGGAAAACATCAGCTTTGTGCAGGAAGGGGCCTGTGGTCCTGATTCACTATGACCCTTGGAAAGAAGGGACAGTCTGCTATGGTGTATGCTCAGAACCAGGGACACACAGCAAGATGTGGAGACCCAGACAGCTGGGCTGAGAGAAGCCTGGCGTCTGCAGATACTGGAATCCTCGCTACCACAGAGACCAATGTAACCTTGTGACAAGCACCCAGCAAATCACTAGAGACCAAGGGGTAGAGCTTGGTTCCCCTGGGAAGAGTTCACTCACAGGGGTAGACAGCACAGAGACAGAACAGCTAGGATAAACTGCAGTCCTCAGAGGCCTGCCCCCCACCTCACCTAACCTTGGTCGGAAGGAATCTGGGCATCAGATGATGATAGAAACTGCAGGAGGGCAGGACAAACATAGGTAGAGAAGGTCACCCTGGTCCTTTCTTTAGGGCTCTGAGGGGCAAAGAGGCCGAGACAGTGATGGATGGACACCGAGACCAGAATCTCAGGTCTTACACACATGTGGGCCCCCACAAAGGCATCTCTTTAGTTCCAATCTCCTCATCTGTAAAGCAGAGATACCTGTCATTTTCCAGGGTGTGAAGGGATGACATTGCATCACATTGTCCTGTGGTCACTCTGTCTTCCCCTCTTTGGGAGGGTCACCATGATCTTCCCCTTCTTTCCTAACAGTGCTCTGTCTCCTGTGGAGATGGCATCCAGCGCCGGCATGACACCTGCCTGGGACCCCAGGCCCAAGTGCCTGTGCCAGCCAGCTTCTGCCAGCACCTACCCAAGCCAGTGACAGTGAGGGGCTGCTGGGCTGGACCCTGTGCAGGGCAGGAGACCCCCAGCTCACTGGCCCACGAGGAAGCTACTCTCCCCAGCCAGACCCAGGCTGCTGTCACTCTTGCTTCTCTGGAGTGGTCCCAGCCCCAAGGTCAAGCCCGCACCCTCTTCCCAGCCTCCCAGTCTCTGGGGCTCCAGGAAAACCTGGAAGAGTCTGGTTAGGTTTATTCCTGCTTCCTCTTGGGGAGGTTGGCATCTCGACCTGGGCATGCCTGGACAAGCACTCAGGAATAGACCCTGTGCCACTGGGCTCAGGGCCTCCTTCCCATCTGGCAAAGGGAAGGCAAATGTTTGTATGTGCATGCTTGTGTGTGTGTGTGTGTGTGTGTGTGTGTGTGTGTGTAGACCAGAGGACAACCTTGGGTGTCATTCCTCAGGAGCTATCGATCTTGTTTTAGACAGGGTTGTTCTCTCATTGGCTTGCAGCTTGCCCAAGTAGGTTAGGCTGGCTGGCTGAGTCCCAGGGGTCCACCTGTCTCTGCCTCCCCAGCGCTGGGACTAGATGCACGCTCCATACCCGTCCTTTAAAATGTAGGTTCTGGGGGTTGAACTCATGTCCCCAAGCTTGCAAGGAAGCACTTTACCGACGGAGCCATCGCTCCAGTTCAGAAGCCACACTTCTGTCCCCTTCAAGTAACCTGAGGGTTGCAGGGTCAGGAGCTCAGGCCCATGCAGCCCCGAGCCCACACACCACCCCACCTCCCTTTCCCCGAAGCATGTAAAAGTGGCCCTAGTGCCTCAGATGCCCCCTTCTCACCCTTTGCCAGCCCTGGCTATCAGCCCTGCTCTGCTCTGGTCACACCTCACTCCTCGTCCATCCTCTGTAGGTGTTTGCGGAAGGCAGTACCTGGAGCCCACAGGAACAATTGACATGCGAGGTCAAGGGCAGGTAGACTGCGTGGTGGCCATTGGGCGGCCTCTAGGTGAAGTGGTGACCCTCCAAATCCTCGAGAGCACCCTCAAGTGTAGTGCAGGTACATCCAGAGGCAAGGGGGCAACTGCTGAGCTTGGGGGCCCGCGGCACAACTCCAGTGTACCCCATTTCTGGCAGGATGCCCCTGCTTGGCATTTTTAAGGCTGTTTCATGTCTGGAGTGTGGGAATCTCTTCTAAGATTGGAAACTGGGGGGATGAGAGCTTTCGTCACAAGCCCCCACTTAGTCACATTAGCCAGCAAGAGTGGTTATTTGAACTCAGCCCTGAGCCACTGCTGCTGACTTGGAGTGGGGGTGCTGGCTCCTCATTGCCTCACCCTTTCTAGGGGAGATGTTGCTGCTTTGGGGTAGGTTCACATGGAGGAAGACATGCTGGAAGATGGCTGGCATGACTTTCAGCACCAAAACCAACACACTGGTGGTGAGGCAGCACCGTGTGGTGCCAGGAGGAGGAGGAGTCCTGCTACAGTACCGGAGCCAACCTGCCCCGGGGACCTTCTACAGAGGTATGCCAGCTGCCTGGCCAGCCCCCACCTCCTCACTGGGTGGCTTATGCCTGTGTTGCTGTGGGCAGGGCATTTTCAACAGCGTCATGGGCAGGCCAGGAGAGAGCGGGCCAAGATGGAAACTGGGAGCAGGCCATGTCTTCCGCATGGTCAGGATGGGGTTCCTCTGTGGCCATGAAGCTGGATGGGTGGACATAGATATGGTCCATGTCCCTGTCCCATCATCCCTCAGGCCACTGCCCCATTCCCTTGACCTTGGTTCTTAGCTCTTTCAAGGTCCTCTCAGGTCTGTGAGCCTGCTTCTGGTGACTTATATGGATATGCTGGCACTCAGTCACAAGCCCTCCTTTCCTTTAAAAAAAATTCTGTGTGTGTGTGTGTGTGTGTGTGTGTGTGTGTGTGTGTGTGTGTGTGTGTGTGTTGTCAGGCGGGGTGGTGTCAGAGGTTCTCCCCCACATGTGGGTCCTGGGAATCAGACTCAAGCTGTCAGGCTTGTACAAAGCACTTCCTCTGCTGAGGCATCCCCACCTGATCCTTTCGGCTCACTGCCTGCAGCTTGTCTATTAGAAGTGGTCAGCGTGAAGGCTCAGCGGGAGGGAGGGGAACGCCTGCCAGGGACCACCCTGGTATCAGTCGTCTCCCTGAGGCGGCCCACAGCCAGTCAGCCCATTTGTTCTTGCCCGTAGAATGTGACAGACAGCTCTTCGGACCTCGGGGTGAAATTGTGAGTCCCCCAGGGAGCCCAGATGGGAGGAATGCAAAGAGCTGCCGGGTCTTCATCAGTGTGGCCCCACAGGCCCGCATTGCCATCCGTGCCCTGGCCAGTGACGTGGGCACTGCCTCCGAGAGGACCAACGCCAACTATGTCTCGGTGAGGTCACCAGGATGGGGACAGGAGTGGGGTGATTTTTAATATGATTCTGGAGAGCTGTCCCTAGGAAGGAGGATGGGGGTGCCGGGTTTAGGGGGCCCTTTCAGTTTTTCACCCCAAACTTCAAAATTATTTGAAAGAATGTGAAGGAGGGTTTCCTCCACTAACTCACCAGCAACTGCTTGCTGCTCTACCTGCAAGAAGGAAAAGGGGAACCCTTTCCTGGGGGTAGATTGCCTGTTGACCCAGGGCGAAAGCATCATGTGCATGCCTGGGTTTCCCCCCCCCCCAGAAGAGCATAGGTAGAGTTGAGGGTTTGTGTGCTCCACAAGGCATCAGATCACCCCAGAATCAGACCTGAGCAGGATTCCTCAGGGGAAGGGGCCCAAAGTCTCTGAGCTTCAGTTTCTTGGACAGAATAGTGTCCCTCGTGGGGGCTCCTGTGAGACTCAAACATGACTCTAAGTAGCCAGGAGTCTATAAATTCTAGATAATGATCACTCATAGCCTGTCCTGGCTACTTGCTTCTCCCCAGATCAGGGATATCCACAGTCTGAGGACCACAACATTTTGGGGGCAGCAGGCACTCTACTGGGAGTCGGAAGGCAGCGAGGCTGAACTGGAGTTTAGCCCTGGTTTCCTGGAGGCGCATGCCAGCCTCCAGGGTCAGTACTGGACCATCCCACTGAGGACACCAGAACAGGACAACAGCCTGGCTCTGTCTTAGATTTCTCTCCAACCGCCGGAAAGAGAGGCAATCCTACACTTACGTGACCAGTCTTGGAGGGTTCAACACTAGCCTCTTGAGAGGTTCTAACGCCTGCCGGTCTTGGGGAATCTCTTTCAGGGACCTTTTCCAGGTGCAGAAGGGCTAGGGCTGCTGGGAGGTGGAGATCGGACAAGCAGTCCCAGCCCCAGTTGCTAATAAAGGATACAGGAAACCCGACTGGCGTTTTCCTCCCATAATCTGCCCCAAGCTGGGCTTGAAAGCTCATTCTACTGCAAGGCGGGGTTCTCTGGCCATCTGAGCAGGGCCTTCGCCACTTCTAGACAACGTCCTCAGAGAAAAGGCCAGTCCGAAAGCAGATCATATGCTGGATCTCGGCGGCGAGGAGAGCTGAACGAATTGCAAACACGCCCCTTATGCTAATATACGCCAGTTCCCCCCGGCCCACCCGCCCGCCGCCTTCCCCCACCCGCCGCCTTCCCCCACCCGCCGCTACTGGCCTGCGGGTCCGCCCCTATGCTAATCGCCGCCTCTCCCACAAGGCCGCGCGCGGGTGGACACGTCCCTTTGTGCGCGCCTGGGGCTGCGCGCTTCCTAAAGCGTAGCGTCCTGGCAGCATGAGCGGCTCGGGGGCAGCCGGAGCGGCCGCCCCTGCCCCGCCGGCACAGGATGAGGGCATGACGTGGTGGTACCGCTGGCTGTGCCGCCTGGCGGGCGTGCTGGGGGCCGTGTGTGAGTACCGCGGCCTGGGAGTGGGCGTCCCCGGGGTTGCCATGGCTCCTGGCCTCGGGCCTGCGTTCTGCCTCCCGGAGCGAGGTGGCCAGAGGCGGAGCTGACCTGGCCTTGTCCGGAGGAGCCGAGACTCACGGAGGACGCGCGTCTGTCTCTTCCTGGTCCTCCCCGCCTTGGTGATGCTCACCTGGGCTGGGGTGGGACTGCCTAATTCCCAGCCTTTGGGCAAAGCTTATTCATAAGTGGGGGCGGGGGCAGGTCGCCACAGGCTGGGAAGTTTGCTTGAGGGTCAGATGGTGCCAGGGGGTAGATGGCCCCCTGGCTGGGCAGGGGATGAGGGAGAGGCGGCTTCTCATCGGTTTCTCACTGTCTATTTAGACTTCGCCTCTTTAGCTGTACACGCTTTGTTAATGCTTCTCACCGGCCTGGTATCTTTCACACCAATCCCTAGTTCACACTCCCTAAGTTTAGGTTCCAGAGAACTCCAAAAGGATAAAAGAGGAAGGCAGGCCCACCTCTTACGTGCAGACCTTTGAACCGACTGTGTTTCCTAAATCCTGTCTGTCCCTTTCATTGTGAATTCCTAGAAGCCCAGGGGAAATGCTGGTCTCAGGAAAGGAAGGTCAGAGGATCCCATTGCCTACCTGGTACAGGAGCAGAAACTGTGGGGGTGGGCAGACCCATCTTCTCTCCTGCCTGAAGGAGTACCTTGGAGTCCCATCTGTCCAGAGGATCCAGCTGAAAGTTCAGGTGGATAGGGTGGGGTTAGGTATGTGCTGCCCTGGTGAGGCAGCTCTGGAGAGAATTTGCTGAGCTTGAGTTCCAATCCTCTCCAGTGCAGGTAGCTATTTCAAGGTGGTATTAAGGGGTGCAGGAGCAAGGAAGATCCTGACCGTGACCTACATGCTACCACCCTCCTTCCATTTTGGTGATGCCATCAGTGACCCAGGTGACTTCTAGATTGACTTTGGAAATCCCACCCAGTCCCGTGTTTCCTAAAGTGGGTGTCTATGCCACCCTAAAAGGCCTCCCCAACCCTCCTTCTGGGTTGAGCCATATTTGAAACCTTAGAGGAGACCCATGGCATTAACTCCAATTGTCCCCTGAGACTTCAGATTTGGGGACATCAAGGATTTGAGTACTGGCATACGGGGGTGGGGGGGGAGAAAAAGTGTGTTTACTTTAGAAATTCAGTAAGTTTTGACAAGAGCTGTGTCTCAGCTAGTCACTCTGACACAGGGTTGTCTTCTCTTAGAGTGAGGGGCCTCGGAGGGATTTATTCTGGTTCCAAAGGCATCGGTAGACAAAAGCTTTAAAGAAGAAAGGATTGTATAGTGACATCTGCTTTTATGGAGGACATAGCACTCCAAGTGGATGTATTTGAGTCCTCGGTTGTCAAAGGACTTCCGTCTGTCTGGGTTGTGACTTGGTCCTCCCCAAAGCTGTCTGTGTAGGACAGCCTGGGCTGAGTGGAGCTGTAGCCAGAATGCTGAGGGCAGCAGTGTGGGCCCCTCAGGTGAGACCAGGCCCAGCTACACACAGGCAGGACTGTTCCCTCACTTCTGTGGCCCCGGAAGTTTCTCTGCCAGAGCCACACGTGGATGCGTGCTGCTTAGTTCTTTATTGGAGGAGAGGTTTTATGGCATAGGAGCTGTGCCATTCAGAGTCAGTCATTTGGTCCATTCTCCTGCATCAGCCTCCATTTGCGTAGTGTAACACAGGAAGGAGGAAAACGGTGGAATCCCAGGCCCAGTGGAGGGATCAGGTGCCATGGGACTGCTGCAAGTTTAATGAGTTGGTTGCTAATTGCAGCCTCAGAGGGCAAACACTCTGCCCCTCCCTGGCGACAACCTGGACATGTGTCCTGCCAGGCTGGGCAGCTCCCAGGAATGTTCTCAGAGGCTCCCAGAGTTCCTGGTGAGGGACTTCCTGGTGAAGCCAGCTGCAGGTTGTGAGTGGGTGTGCATCCCTGGGGTGCAGTCAGGTGAGGAGCCTCAGGCTGCACACTGGAGTGAAGTTATATTATGGGGAAGAAGAGGACACACTGTCTCCTCGTGGTGTCTTGCTGTTCTAGTATTGGGACACAACATGCCCATGTGTAGGAGAGAAAATGAGCTTAGAAGGCTACATGCCCAGGGTCACTTGGCTGGTGTTTTAGATGTGGAACTGTCATTTGGATCTTACCTGGTACCCATCAGTGTATCAGGAGAGGCATCTCTATCCTGACCCAAATTCAAGCTGTAGCCAGACATAGTGGCACATGTCTGTAATCCCAGCCCCCAAGAGGCTGAAGAAGCAGGATAGTGTTTGAGGTCAGTTTGGGCTACAGAATAGGACTCTGTCTCAAACAAAACAAAACAAAACAGAACAAAACAAAACCCCTAACCAAGCAAGCATAAACAACAACAACAACAACCTCAAATAACTCTGAATCGAGTTTTCCAAGTCCGAGCTTTTTGAGCAGCCTACTTTGTGGATGAAGATCGGTGGCCCTTGCTGAGGTTCTTGTTGAAGGCAGAACAGGCCTGACCTCTTGAGGGGGTTTTGATAATAGCTTGGAACCCAGGGCTGGCCCATCACAGCCTTAGGTGTGAAAGTAGCTAGATTTGAGGTTGAGAAGTAGGCTTATTGAGTTACTCTCAGCTGTCTCAGGTGATGGTGGGATGCTGAGGGAAACCCTAGTGCTGAGCATCTAAAGGGAGCCCCATGAGTTCTCAGTGCCTGCACGGGCAGCCTTCTGCAAGCTCTGCCACAAACTCCACTAACTCCTGCCCATGTCTTTTGCTTTGAAGCCTGTGCCGTCTCTGGACTCTTCAACTGCGTCACCATCCACCCTCTGAATATCGCAGCTGGCGTGTGGATGCTGTGAGTAGCTGCGAATGGCTGGCCCGGTGGGGTCGGAGGGCTGAGATGCAGGTCCAATCCCCCTTCCTGCCCCCACAGCATTTATGGGCCAGGGGGACAGCCAGCTGAGCCTTTGTTGGGAATAAGGTCCCAGATACAGTGGCTGAGCACCTGCCTAGACAGACACTGTAGACCCTTTGTCTTTACAACGGACCCTTCCCTCTGGGAGCTGCAGAGCCATGATATGTAAGGTCAGAGTTGAGTGTCTAGGAGGGAGGGAAGAGGATGGTCAGCGGTAAGGCGGTGAGCAGGCCTTGTTAGTGGGGCAGATGCAGATGGAACTGGTGGCTATCGCATCCACAGGTGAGCTCCTTATCACCCAGCTGGATCCCAGGAAAAGGGCTCCAGAGTAAGGGCTGCTCAAGGCACATGGGAAGCACTGTGCGCTAGCATTTGTTAGTGCCTACAAGGGGCTACACAGTCATTTAGGGGGAAGGTACAGGTACTGCCTTAGGCCTCAGGCCAGGGTGATTTGGGTCTTGTGGTGATGTGTACAAAGGCCTGTGCTGGCCCAAGGTGGCAAGAATGGGGGCTGTAGAGGTTGTGTACAGATTGGTGGAACAGTGAGCTGGTATTTGGAAGATTGGCAGCTGTGGTGGGTTGGGGAGGTAGGCAGTGGTCAAGAGCTGTGTCTGTTAATCGGACTATCATTGGCACTTCCCTTCCAAATGTGGGGCCTGGCAAAGGCCCAGCTGTCTGATCATGACCATTACCCACCTCTGGGAGCAAAGGCCTTCAGCACCAGCAACTTAGCTGCTCCCAGGAGCCGGGCAAGGATCGAAAGCACCTGAGTGGAAGCTTCCGGCATGGGCTGCCCACTACCTTGCCTGACCCACATGGTCTCAGGCCTCAGGCCATGAGTAGTCCTCAGCAACTGGGTGCAGCCAGCCCTTGCACTTCTTCTGGGGACAGCCTGCCCTCAATGACAGTGTTGGTGACTATGATGATACCACTGGCACCTGGCAGTGTGGCTGAGTTCTGTGGATGAACATGCTGCTGGCTCAGGACAATATGGAGGCAAGGGTCTTAGTTCTTCATTGCACAGTTGGAAGGATCGTCCTGCAGGATGCTTGGGCAGTTAGGGATGCTGCTGCAGCAGTGGGATGGGGTGGGGTGCCGAACTGCTTGGCAGAAACCAGCACCTTGTGGTATCGAGGTGCTTCTGGAAGCGGAGGGCCTGTGGGAGGGTGGTGTTCCTTGAGCACTGGCTGGCATGAAGGCTTTTGCAGCCCCAGGTTGTCAGCTGTCATTGTCCTTTCTGCCTTTGCCCCGCAGCATGAACGCCTTCATCCTGTTGCTGTGTGAGGCGCCCTTCTGCTGCCAGTTTGTGGAGTTTGCAAACACCGTGGCTGAGAAGGTGGACCGGCTGCGCTCCTGGCAGAAGGCGGTTTTCTACTGCGGGTGAGGGGCTGTTGGGCAGGCCTAGGGCACGGTTCTCCAAACTCTTGCTGATTAAAGCAGGCATTGGCGAGGCGGGTGGGGCAGGAACCTTTCTTTCCTGCAGAAGTTTTTCTTTGATAGCTGTGGACACAGCCACTGGCCCATCCAGTAACAGCTGCTAAAGAACGGGACCCAGGAGCTGCCTTCTTGAGCTCAGATGACAGCTATGGCCATACAAGTATTCCAAGATCTGTAGTGCTGGCAGCAGTGCATGTGTGTGTGCGCGCGCGTGTGTGGGGGGGACGGGACAGGACAGGGAAGCAACTGGGAGTTGCCAGACAGGTCATAGTAGATATGTGTGGATATTGTACAGGCTTGAAAGGAATGTGGCCAACCTATATGCCATGAGATTGCAGAACAGA